AGAACGTGGACAATGTGCCCTGTGACAGCGATCTGAAAGCGCCTCTGCAGTGCCGACATCGTCGATTGTGTGTAAGGAAGCCATAGGACCATCGCCACATCGCTGGAGGCGACCATCGACAAGCTGCGGACTTGCAGCTCGGCGGGCTTGAGGCTCAGTGCGGACGCTAGAAGAGCGCGGACGGCGTCAGTCGCCCCGGAGGCGGTAACCAAGGTCGTGTTGGTCCAGTGGAGCGTTGTTTGCAGATGCTGCGGCGTCACGAGACGCGCCATGAGCCCTTGTACGAGCCACAGCCATCGCATCTTTCAATTTGCAGCGAGGCGTCGGTCGAAAGATACCGTTTCGGCCAATCCGCGTTGGCTAAATCGACCAGCCGGCATGTGATTGGCTTACGAAAGGCCAGGGTACGCGGTGGGTACGGATTCCTGCCTGTGTCGAGCCGACCAGGGGTACATTATTATGTACCCCTGGAGTAGACGTACCGGTATCCATCGTGTATCCATCACGAATCGTTCGTCGATTGCTGTCGAGGAGGACTATTTGTTGTTGAACTAAGTTATATTATTACATGCAATTATAACGATACGGTGGACTTCCTAATGCGCTCGTGAGGCGTGGTCGGTGCTTCAGCGACGAGCGTTAGTGGTTTGATATTGTGGTGCGAGGGACCAGGTAGCGTGCACACCAAGGGTCGTCACGGAGAGCGACCAGCGACGCGTCAAGAAATGGCACCACAGCGTGACGAGCCAAGCACCGGATATGCAGCCGTGCGATACCGGTAGTGGCTGCCCGGATCGCAAGCGCAGCCGCCGGAAGTGTCTAGGACTATTATACTATCTAGTACGATTCGAATACTAGTATATTATTTTCCAACTGGCATTGGCTGTTGTTTAGCATGGCCAGCCCATCGACGGCTGCGTCGGCCCACGCCAAGGCAGCGCGCAAGCCATCGCGCACGATCTTCACGCGGGCCGACCACTCGCGCTACTTGATGCGCGGCGACGGTAGCATTCAGGAGCTTCCGCGGTTGGATCTGACGCCACCGACCTTTCCCGTTGACACCCCGCAATGGACAGCCGCGATGGCTGCATCGACGCCGTCGGACCCGACGCGCCTCCGCCTCGTGACTTGGAACATGTGGTTCGACCCTAGGGCCCAGGAACAGCGCTTCGATGCGCTCATCGTGGACGTCCTGGCGCTCAACCCGGACGTCGTCTGCCTCCAGGAGGTTACGCCGCAGGTGCTTTCAGCGATCGAGGCGTCGGCGCTGCTGCAGGCCACATACGAACACAGCCCCGAGCCCGTGTGCCCCTACGGCTGTCTCATCCTGGCGCGGCGAGCGCTTCGCCCAAAGTTTGCCAACACACCACTGCCCTCCAAGATGGGGCGCTCCATGGTCACATGCGTCGTCCAAGGGCACATGGGCACGCTGCCTGACGTCATCATTGGCACGGTCCACCTCGAGTCGCTCAACGCGCCGGCGATGCGTGAGGCGCAGCTTCGCGCCTGCGCTGCCGTCTTCCTGCCGCACGCCAACGCGGTGCTCTGTGGCGACTTCAACTTTG